CACAGGCAGTCACCCCATCGCGGAAGCTTTTCTTCGCCCGCAAACGCGCGGGACGGACGGGCGTGGAGCAAGATCGCGAAGAGGATCCCGCCGTGATGGAGAGCGCGGTGTTGGCAATGGCCGGCACGAGAACGCTGTGAGAACGTTGAGAAGGTCGTCGTCGAGGACTGGGTCTGGCCACGATATGCGAGTACAAATGCCAACGCAATTGGTAGTCACTGGCCCCGTTATTATAGAGATGGGTGCGCTTGTTTTACGGCATCCATCAGTCAGTGACACACAAACCGCGGCTGAAAACACTCGAGTTCGTGCCTGTTGATTACTGATGCCTTGATGATCGTGTGATATCAATACATCCACGATTTCCAATAACTGAAGTGTTTTGACAAACGGCCTCTCGGCCACCATCAGTTATGAAAATCGGTATTATGGAGGGCAGACAACCGCTTTTGTCGTAAACTGTCCGACGGCCCACAAACACGGCACATTACGGAGCCGTTCGGTACAAAAACACAGGGTAACGAAGTGGCCAAGATGCAATCAGCGGCCGGTCCATGGGCAGTTGCAACACGCTAGGGGTGGCTCCCGTTGTCAACAACGCTGTCAGAGGCGGGACAGGCTCGGGGCTGCACGCGCCACCAGCCGCAGGACCAAACAGCGTTACGCAGGGCCCGACCGCGGACTCCCTTTCTCCAGTGGTTGATCAAAGGCGACTAACGGCTGCGTCAGAACGACACAGATCAGGGACCAGGTTTGGTCAGGCTCCTAACCGGTTGGTGAGGGCGCCAAGGCAGAGGCAGTCTCCGGCATTGGGTCAGTTTCGATGGTGAGGGTAGATTACGGGACGACAGTGGACAAAAGTTGCAGCAGCTAGTGCCCGTCCAGGCACCATTACCTGATTACATTCCACCGTCACATCCTGATAAGGCTGTCCCAGGACAAGGTCTCTAACGTCATTAAACGTCTGTCGGCATCAGTTCTGATTGGTTGTTCGGGCTTTCGGGCGCTTCGGTCGCACGGCAACAGTCGCCCATCCGTATCAGATAAGCAGATCCATAAAACCTGCTCAGATGTCCATCTACTCCAAGTTAGTGTGACAGCCCTAACAATGCATGTACAATGCACCGCACACGCAAAGGCCGGTGAAAGAGCCACAACCCCTGCACAATGCACGCCGCAGTGCCCAGCACTGGAGCCCCGCCCCGCCTCACCCCGCACCGTGCCCTGCAGAGGTCACCACCGCGTCGTCCTGCACTGTGCACAGGTCAAGCCCGGCGCCACACCCATACCGCGGTCATCGGCGCTGCCGTTCCCGGGCCGCCGACCCCGGCGCCTGGGGCGCGGCCGGCGCCCGTCCCGTGTCTCGTGTCCGCCGCCCGACCGGTCGCCCCGGAGACCGTCCGCCGGCCGGCGCCGCCTGCATGCAAAGTGGCCTCTGCTCGCCCGTCGGCTGCAGAGCGCCGCGCCGCGCCGCCACCGGTGGCCAGAACCGGCTCCGGAGCATCGTCCTGCACCACCGGGCTGCTCGTCGGCCGGCGCGTCGCGTTGCCAGCGCCGGGGCGGCGCCGTCGGCCGCCGCGCTCTCGGCGGCGCCGAGGCGTCATCGGCGGAGCGGCCGAACGGCGGAGCGACAGCAGCGCCGCGCTGAGCGCGTCGGCTGCGCTCGGATGCCCGGCCGTGACTAACGAGTGGGACCGAGCCTCCATCACGGGACCCGGATGCCTGCGAGGCTCTCGGCCGCGCCGCCGGTCGCCGGCCGCCGCTGACCCGTTTTGGAGCAGGATACGCGCGCCAGCGACCGGCGGCGAGCGACCCATTTTCAGTGGGGCCGGCGACGGCGGCGGCGGCCGATCGCGCGGCGAAAACAACCGGCCGCCGGACCCGACTGACGGCGCCGCCACCACACCACGGCTCGAGACGCACGCTGGGCACTTTGACTGCTGGGCTGCTGGGCAGCTGGGCGGCTGGGTCGCTGGGTAGCTGGGTCGCTGGGTAGATGGGCAGATGATGGGCAATCGGGCAGACACAGGTCGACCGAACCGCAGAAATGTCTCAGATTTCGGACTCTGGTAACCATGGCAACCGCATATATTTTCGCATGGTCGCAAGCCAGATATGATCCGCGTCGGCCTGTATTTCTAGTGTAATTCACATCGTGCTACGCCTGGTGACCGCAGAATCCGGTCGATTCACACACGCCAAAGTCTGGCAGCCAACGTGCTGATCCGCGCATGGGTAAACGGAAAACGCCCTGGCACTGGCATGCCTTTAAGGAAAGTCTAACAGAATGCCCAAGTACGAGCAGCCCGACACGTCTGGTACACCGTTCGCTGCATGACCTGGTCGTGCGCCCACTTCCTTGTATCTTTTGTTTGAGTGTGTGACATGATTCCATCCGCACGAAACTAGCGCTACGAACCGGCACACCGGCTTAAGTGGCTCAATAGTCGTAACACAGGTGTAACCTATCACGGAAACACGCGCGGTGCGCGCTGGTGCACCAGCATCTATGCCATCACTTCAACCCGGTGCGAGACTCGTCTAGATCCCCGAGGCTTGGGAACAGTAGTAGTGGGGGGGGGGGGGGGGGGAGGGGCTAAGCCCCACTGTTTGAAAGTGGCGAGAATGTTTACCGTTGGCCTGTTGGCGATGGATGATTGAGACGTTCCTGTGCCTATGCCCGCGCGCCGTCTCTTCTGTAGCATCTGGTCGGCACCCAGCGGAAGATTTGTTGTGACGGGACTATCTGACGGAGCGAAGATCATTCGCCGTTTCGGGCCGACGCGGCGGCGCAGAAGATCAAGCGATATCCCCCGACGAAAACGAGCCGCACCAGGCCGACATCCGGCTCCTCGTGGCCGGCCCATATCCGTCCCACTGCCGAGAGTCGCCTCGTCCGACAACGACCGGCCAGCCGACCCGGCCAACCGCCGCCAGCCTCTCCCCACGGCCGCGGGGTTCCGGTTTCGACGCAGCGGACGCAGCTGCGCCCCCCTCCCCTCCCTCGGTCGCAGCCGCGGACCGGTGGAGTCCCGGACGCGGCCCACAACCGGGCCGGAAGTGGGCCGCCTGGCCGCCGGCCACCTCTCCGCCGGCGGCCCGCCGCGTCGGCCCGGCGGGGCAGCTCGGGCCGCCCGGACGCCGCGCGCCCCGCCGGCCCAGGCTCGGCAGTGATATACCAGCCGGCGAATTGTCACGAGCGTGCCGTTAAACGGGGCGTGGAGCGGCGCGGCGCGGCGAGCGCGGCTCGCCTCCCCGCCGGCGGCCCGGCGTGCGGCCGCGGGCGGCGCGTGACGCCGGCGAGCGGGCGGCACGAGCGGGCACGAGGCCGGCGCCGCGCGCCGTAATGCGAACTCCGCGGCGTTCCGGCGACCTCGGGACCGCGGTGCTGATCAGCGGTTCTGAGACCTCCGAGGCGATGCTGCTGCCACGCGGGGATCAGCGGTAGTCGTAACGGAAGACCTCGGGAGGAGTCGCATCAACTGCACTGGGATCTCCGCGCAGGTCGGCACTGCCGCGGGCGCCGTGGTTTTAGGTCGGTCAACGAACTGACAGTGCATAATCAGCGGTGAAGACACCGTGGACGGCTATATCTCCTAGTGGTCAATAGTCCCGCAAACTGCCTGGCTCTCACAACACCAATAACTTAAATTCATCTATCCCAAAGTTACTTCCAACTGATCTTCTCACCTCCAAAGAGGGGTAAGAGGTCCATTTGGGGCCAGGCTCGGCCGCACATGCATGTGTTCTCATATACGCCACACCTTTCGTTCCTGGCGACGACAGTCACTTCCAGGTGCTCCAGCTGCCCATGATGCGAATGAAGCCTTTGCATGCGATCTCAGATTTCCAGGTGCTCCAGCTGCCCGCGATGAGAAACTATTCGCATGCGATCGGTGCAATCTCCGCCCAATGCTGCTGCTGGAAAGCCGCCCTGAGTCCCGTCTCCTCCGTGTGGCCGCCTGCAGTCGACTAATTGGCTGCCCGCTAACAGCGCTGTTACACGAGCTCCCGTCCAATGGGGCAGTCACGTCGGCGCGCTGGAGGCGGAGCATGCGGTCGCCAGGGCAGCGGGCGCAAGGTGCGGAAGATGGGCCTTGGTAAGCGATTGGCTGTTCATGTCGAACTGGGAGCTGCTGTCTAACGGAGGCGGCCGGCGCCGGAGCCGGAGCCGCGGAGGAGCCGGAGTAGAGCACGGGTTGCGGCTGGAGCCAGAGCTGTAGCCAGAGCCAGAGCCAGAGCCAGAGCCAGAGCCCGAGCCAGAGCCCGAGCCCGGGCCAGAGCCAGAGCCAGAGCCCGAGCCCGAGCCCGAGCCAGAGCCAGAGCCAGAGCCAGAGCCAGAGTCAGAACCGGAGCCAGAGCTGGAGCCCGAGCCGAAACAGGAGCCAGAGCCAGAGCCAATGCCCGAGCCCGAGCCCGAGCCCGAGCTAGAGCCAGATTCAGAGTCAGAACCAGAGCCGGAGCTGGAGCCCGAGCCGAAACAGGAGCCAGGGCCAGAACCAGAGCTTTGAGTCAGCAAAGATGGTCCAGAGCCCGTTGGAGTCACGCCAGTCACCTGAACGATGGCTCCCCAGAAACATCAGAGATCGGGCACTCGCCGGTCCCCATAACAGCGCAGACACGGCGCCCCGCCGGGATGACAGCTCGGACGCAGCGTCCCGTCGGCATCGCGGCGAGCACACCGCGTCCCGCCAAGATAACAGCACAGAGACACGGCGCGCCACCGACATCAGAGGTCGGACGGAGCGGCTGCCCGTGGCGAGCACGATCAGGCCTGACGCCAGCTCGGGCAGCACAGATGGTCCTCAGAGCGCCCCTCATCAAACGGCGGCGCGGCACAAAGCTGTCCGGCGGCGGCTGTCTGCTGCCCGTCTGTCTGCTTAGCCACATCCGCCAGCCACTTTGAAGCTCAGAGGCGCGTCATGAGCGTCTCTGACTCCTCCGCCGAGCCCGAGCGGCCGCGTCCCTCCACCGCGGCCGAGCGGGCACGCGGAGCTCACCTGAACTTGGCGGCGGGGCTGCAGAAGACGCGCGGCAGGTCCTGCAGCAGGCCGGTCATCTTCGGCACCGTCACTGAGCTGAGATGCACCAGCTGACCCTTGACGCTGGCGCCGAGCCCGCTCACGTGCTGGCGCAGGTCGCAGAAGGTGAGCCGCGGCCGTGAGCAGCAGCCGAGCGCGGCGCCCAGCGCCGGCCGCGGCGAGCACAGCAGCCGGGAGTAGCGCTGCTCGCTCATCGCTGCTGTTCGCTCGCAGCAGCCGCTGGTGCGCTCAGCGGAGCGCGGTCCCGCAGCCGGCGAGGACTGCGCGATCCGGCGACGGCGAGGCCAGCTGCCGCCCAGGTGGCGCTGAAGTCGGATGGCGGGTGCCCGGAGCCTCGCCAGCCGGCGGGGTTCGCACGAGGTCCTCTATCCCAAACGCCGTCGTCCGCTCGCGTCCGCGTGCGTGCAGGGAGTCGCCGCCCGAGTCCCACCGGTCTGCGAGCATCCACCCTCGTCCCGCGGCTCGACACACCCGCGATCCACCGTCGCCCTCCCGCACTGCCGACGTGCCTCAGTCTCGCAGAAAGTGTGTCCACCGGCGTAGTACGCACGTGCTCTCCCACGCCTCTCGCCCGCGCGACTGGCACCGCCTGGCTGCTGCTGCGGCGGCGGCGGCGGCGGCGGCGGCGGCGGCGGCGGCCCCCTAACGGACTGTCGGCCACCTGGCCCGGTACCGTGGGCCGCCCGATGTCGGACGCCGCCCGCCCTCCGGTCCGCGGCCAGGGTGACGGACCATTGAGAAGAGCGAGGCCGGCACCGGGGCAGCGTGTTGACCCCGGTCCACTGAGAGAACGCCGACTGGTGCGAAGGTTTTTCGTCTGGTCAGCGAGCGGGAGAGATAAATCGACGCGGGCTCTGGGAGATCTGAATGGAATAATCTGATGGCAGTTGACAGCTGAGGAAGAATCATCCGAGCACAGCCGGGACAGAGCCATCGCGCCAGGCGTCAACAGCCGCATCGAACAGCTCCTGGTCATTGACAGCGAAAGAGTCGAGAATGGACCAAACGACGTGGTCATTTTGAGAGTCGTACCCAGTTCTGCTGAGTTATGAGTTCAAAATCTTCTCCCTGCATGCACCACGGCAGCAGCCACATGCCGGGGCCTCGTCAAACCAACGATGGCACAGCGAAAACCGATAAACCTTCTGGTCGCTCTGGAGCGACGCATCACAACGGTGGCTACACGTCGTCGGTCCGAGCGGAGGAACCGGGCTCCCAAAAGGTGAAGTGTAAAGTTGGCGCACTGATTTACCGGTGAATATCACGACACGTTGTTGAGTGAGTAGAATGAGGTCAAGCAGCTGGCAGGTGGCTTCCGTTCCATTCATTTCACAACCATGTCATACATTTGACACACAGCTCCCCATCATGCTGGATTGGCCAGCTGGAACAACCATGCATATGGTTCCTGTTCAACTTGAATGCGTTGGCCAGGCCCTATGTCTGCCCGCAAACAATGCCACATAACGTTTCAAACTTCGCAAAATGCCCAGCATCAATGGACTGGTTTTCCTAGGCCAATGCATGACAACAGAACAGACGGAGTCTTCGCCAGAACAAACGAGGGAGCGACCGACACACTCCACCCAAAACTCCTCTTCCATAGCACCAACACCTCGCATTCCAGAACCGAGGTAGTCCTCCAAATAAATATTTGTGTAGAACATTACGCACTTAACAAGTTTATCTACTGGAAGCACAAAAAACCGCAGCGTTTTGACACTTTCAGCGCGGCACCAGCTCAGACACTGACTTATTTCTACGGTGGATGTTTATTTGTGACTAGCTTTGAGTACACAGCGCGTCTACAACCTCTTGAATAACAAGACAAGATATGTGACTCATCGGTGCTCACTTAAGTATCTGTGGCGGAAGGATGCAGCCGCCTGGAGTGGATCCGCTGTCTATCGGGTGTAATCCGAGACTGCACAATCCCAACAAACGGCATCGCGACAGCAGCGGCAATCAGTCGACAAATGCCCAGTCGATGACGCCGACGGACGACGCTGAGTCAGGGGTAAACACCTCAGCCGCTATCACCGAGCCGGCCTCGCACTGACCTGACCTCCGTGGGCGCGCCACCGGGAGGGGTCCACTGGAACCGCGAGTGCAAGCACGGTGCCCATGGGGAGTCACAAGCCGACGCGACCGTGTCCGCCGGCGCCTCGCCTCGTCACACACCACGGTCGGTATTCGCCGTGCATTCCATGGACGGCCGGTCAGGAGCGCGGCGAGCGCGGCCGGGCGGAGAGGTCCCTGAGATCGTGCAAGGTCGTGCTTCGGGCTGGCGACGGTCTGGCGTCACGCTCATCCACCCGGGCGTGCGGCGCCGCCGTCTGCCGCTGCCCTCGGCGCGCCCTTGACGGTGAAGCGACGCCGTCGGACGCTGCGCTGGGCGCGCCCCTGCCGCAGCCGTGCATCGTCGACCGTAGCCTGGAGACGGGTCGCCGCGGCCGAAACATGGCCCGCGGCGGCTGACCGCCGGCGCAAGAGAGGCCAAACTCGGCCGCCGCGCCCTTACTTATCGCCCGTGTGACCTCGGCGCGCCACCCGCCGGCGTCAACAGACGGTCGTTGTTTGGACGGCTGCATGGCGTAGCGCTCGTGGGTAGCGCTCGTGGGTAGCGTGGCGAAACGTGCCGACGGCCGGCGGACCGAGAGGCGCGCCATCCGCCGCTCGGAGCGTGAGACGCGCCGCCCTCGTCGCGTTCGAGCGGCCGCCAGCTGGCGTCATTTGAATTGAATATTAGCCCATCTTACGCAAATGGCCCGCAATCCTTTGGAAGGCCGTATCCGTGACGAAACGAGAGCAAGCCCCGCGACCGGATGCGTCTCTGTCTCCTCCCCCCAGCTGGCACGCTCGCGATCCACCCGCGTCCTGACTCCGGCCGCCTTGCCGCCCGCGATCTCTGCGTAACAAAGTCACCTGACGTCACACCGTCACCTGACGTCACATTGTCACCTGAGGTCACGCCATCACCGAATGTCACATAGCCATCCGATGCCACATCGTCACCCAATGTCACACCATCACCTGGCGTCACACCGTCACCTGACAGCACACCATCACCTGACGCCATATAGTCATCCAATGCCACACCGTCACCCGATGTCACACCGTCACTTGAGGTCACGCCGTCACCTGACGCCACGCCGTCGTCATTTGGCGCCACATAGTCACTTCATGTCACACCGCCGCTCGGCATCCTACAGTTACCTGACGTCACAGTGTTAAGTGACATCACACCGTCATATGACGTCTCATCGTCACCTGATGTCACACCGCCACCCGGTGTCCCACCGCCACCTGACGTCACACTGTCACCTGACGCCACATAGTCACCTGATATCACACCGTCACCCGGCGTCCTACCGTCACCTGACGTCACACCGTCACTTAACGCTTCGTCCAGCGCGAGAGCCGGCACCGAGCCACATCCGGGACGACATCACCGGGCGCAGATGCGTGCCCGTTCTGAAATTGGTTCGCTGCAGACCGAGGTCGTGAGCTAGCCCGGACGTGCCGCGGCCGGGACCACCGCTGACAGGATGTCGGCGGTCAGGAGCGTGTTCACAAGCCAAACACCGGCGTCCGGCTGCATAATGAGCGGCGGCTGGCGGCCTGGGCCAGATTTCGCCACCGGCTGCCGGCTGGTCGGTTTGGAATGTCGGCGTACGAATGTTCAGTGCATTTTGAGATGCCCACTGTTCTGAAACAGGCATCACTTCCGGCACCCGAGGGTGCGGATGGTGTAGTGGATAACTTGTTGGCGTTAAGGATAACTTGTTAGCGTTAACCGCTGCACGTCTGGGAAACCGGAGGTACGGGGTTCGATTCCCCGCGGTGGCCGTGCTGCCTGCCGGGGTGAGAGACAGGCATTACCATAAAATCTCAGCGTCCGAATGCGTCGTAAAGCCCTAATGACGACGGCAGATCAGGTAATTTGCATATACACACGCATTGTCCGCTAACAAGGCTCATTGCTCATTTGGAGCTGGCATGAATTGACTGCTTTACCACTTTATAATTGCTTTCAAAAGCCGCTGTTAACATACTGAATTCACCCGATAAAGCAACTGTCGGCAATGCTGACACAAATCCCTCAGGGATGAAAGGCTATATACCGTGGCCCGTTCGGCACGAGTATTCCCGTGCGTTTGAACAATCGGAAAGCCGTACATCTCCGAGCACTCTCAATCTCGGTTACTCTTACCACAAACACAGCCTCCTTACCAACCAGCCGTCCCCTCGCACCAGTCCTGCGCGCCCTCAGACCAGCGGTGCTCGTCGCACCAGTCCTGCGCACCCTCAAACCAGGGGTGCTACACCTCCTCGCTAACCAGCCGGCTCGTCGCACCAGTCCTGCTTGCCCTCAGACCAGCGGTGCTACACCTCCTCACAAACCAGCCGGCTCGTCGCACCAGTCCTGCCTGCCCACAGACCAGCGGTGCTACACTTCCTCGCGAACCAGCCGTCTCGTCGCACCAGTCTCGCGTGCCTTCAGACCAGCGGGGCCGCACCTCCTCGCAGGCCCTGCCCGATCCGGGCTCCGCTCAGCGGTGAGGAAGGCGTCAGGGGCGTCAAGAAGCACCGCTGGGCGTCATTACAGGAGCTGCCGGCGTGGGAGACCGCAGCGTAGCCGGTGCCCCGACAGGAAATGAGCTGTCTAAGTGGCGTCGGCAGCGGATCCACTGGCAGGCGGTCGTCGTGCGCAGTCGCGCTTAGTCTTGTGCCTCACTCCGGGCAGAGACGGAAGCGATTCCGGAAATCAACTCGGTTTTCGCTGAGTCAGGGAGGGGTCTTACGGTAAGTAGGGGCCAGAGTTGATGCAACCAAATCAGTCGTGGATCATCCCTAATATAGGTGAAAGTAGAGGAGAACGCTCGCAATCGGCAACTGATACATGCACCAAGGGCACCACAGCCATGTACTGGCTGTATACACATAATATACACATAATGTGTTGTTAATAAAATAAATGCTCCATTTGTGCCTTTTATGGTGATTTTGAATGGACTGTCTGCCACATAAGCTGTTGTCGCTGGAAATCGCATAATAGGTAGTACTTTATCACAAATCATAAACCGCAATCTGGTCTATCGTAATTCGAAATAGATTCCGAAATCGAGGT